AATAAATAAATAAATAAATAAATAACTTGGTGTTCTAGTTCTTATTCAAGTCCATTTTTTCTCTGTCTTCAAGTCTGAAAAAAAAATGCAAAAACTGGAGCTGCAGAGGCACAGCAGATGCAGAAACCAGAGCCAAGAAGCCTGGACACACAACATCTCCATGCAGAGGTAGGATTTCCCTGTGAAGGCAGTCAATTAACTTCTGCTGCCCAAACACACTCTCTGCTTCTTGTTCCAGTGGTGATTGTTATGTGTTCCAGAAACTGTCTCAAGCACTAAGACACTCGTCGTGTCACACGTCGTGGCAAGATGCTGTTTCCTTCAGGTGCCCCAGTCAAATGGCTTTCGGCCAGTCTCCTGGGAAGGGTGATGCTCAAGCCCCACCACTGCATGTGGACACCCTCACCACATCCCAACCTCAGTTAGGGTCCTCCTAATTGAAGAGAGGATCCTAGAGGAAAATGGGCCAGCACCCCTTCCTACCTTGAGACAGTGCCTAAGAATTTATTTATTTTTATTTGAGAAGGGTAACACCAACAAAATTTTAGACTGGGGGCTGTAAGTTCTGATGCAAGAAGACTTTTTACTGATATGTCTTTGTGAATCAATATTGTACCATGAGACCTGTTTTAAAACAGGAGGTAATTTTTACTGTTTTGGGAGCCTACTTTGTTCTTTTTGTTTTGTTAATTGTGAGATATAGTATTCCATTAGTACATTAAATTTCTATGCAATTTTATTCCTCCAACTTTTCAAGTGTATGCCTAAAATTTTTCAGTTAATACCTATAGGTCTTTTCTTACTACTATAAGTCTCTAAATCTTTTTCTCTTCAGAAATACTTAAATATAATTATCATGAACAGTCTCAATATAGATCAAGAGAATTTTTTAAAATGCTACTACAGTTTGAAGAAAAGGAGCAGTGTTGTTCAAGTCAAGGGTATATTGTTGTTTTTCCCATCCAATGCTGTTTTTTATTTTAATTGATGATCTGTAAGTGATATCCTCTGATATATGTTAAATCAAGAGACCCCTGAATTTGAGTTGGTTTCCAACTTGTTTGGCCCTGACCAGACCACATTTGACAGGTTAGTTAACAAAATACAAAGATCAGGACTCTGTGTTTCCATCTTCAAGGATGGGGGATGGTCTCAGGGGTCATCTGAGACATCTGATCAACCATGTGCCTCTGGTGTGGGACCTAATTGTAGAAAAGAATGAGATGGAGGAGACATAAAGGGTTTATTATTCTGCCTAGAATGTGCAAGTTAGTGTGAGGTCCAGTCTCTTTTCCCACCTTCAGCAGATTCAGGAATTCATTCTATTCCCATAAGGAACAGCAGCAAGATCATAGAGAGGAACAAGGTAAATGCTGTGGTCATTTTCATTGTAACAACTTCTTATAGGGACTTCTTCTGGTCTCATCTCTGATTTGCAGGCTTGGGGATAAAATTTCCCTGTGTTAACTTTTTTTTTAAGAGATCTTTTAGGGCAAAATTTAATAGTACAAGGAGGCTTAGAAAAATAGATTGATGCTATTTTGAGGAACAATACTGTAATTCTTTTCTCAATTCGGTTTTGATAAACTGTATCTAATCATAGAAAAACTATCCCAAATTCAATCTTGATATAAAAAAGGGAAAGATGAAATGAACTCAGCTAGATGACAAATCTGACAAAATATAAGAATGAAAAAAAATTCTGCATAGGGCACTTATTTCGTGTCCAGATGTAAAAACCATTTTCAGTTGATAGTTTATCTGCTTCCCATAAGTAATCAGATTTGGAGTTCATCATGCAGTACAAAGTCACAGCAGTCAAAATCTTCTGTTTGATGCAACACACAAAAAGTTGTTTCTGTTTCCTTATTAAAATGTCAACTGGTTGTCTATTTTTCTATATCTCATTTATTTGTATTCACAAGTTAACACATAGCATCAACAATTATTGTAGGTGAAATGGGGGTATTGCTGGTTCAAAGACTCTATAAGACGTCTTTACTGACTGAATCAGAAGGTTTATTGAACTCAACCCTCACACCTTTTTCTCCTATTAGATATTTTACTTTAGCTCGTGCTCTCTCATCTGCATCAAAATACTGAACAGTTATTGTGTATCTGATAGCATATGCTGGCTGAACTTCATGAGGATTGCGACGGTCAGATCAGAAAAACAGCAGTCTATCAAATTTGGGTTCAATGTCAGCAAACTGGGCTTTGCCTTCTGGAAAAATTCGAAGTATACCTCCACTCACCTTGGCATCCCAGTCTTTATTAAGATAATATATACGTGTCACACATCTTCCATCTCCATTTGAGTTATCAACATGACGTACATAATCTGTTCCAATACATGGCTTTCATACGGCCGTTGATCTTGTAGTTCCCCAGCTTCCCCTTGCAGTGGCGGATCAGGTCGTCCGTGCTGCTCATGAGCAGCCTGATGGTCTCACAGCAGGGCTCCTTGCCCTCGATCCAGGTTATCTTGTCGCCGCGGATGTCCTTGGACGAGTCGCTCTTCTGGCTGACCAGCTGCCCGTCCATGAACTTGCTGGTGTCGTGCAGGGCGCGCACCTCGTCGCCAATCTGCTGCCCGGTCTCCTTGCCCAGGAAGTGGTCCACCACGCAGATGCCGAGCTTGTTCATGCACTGCACGATGTACTCGAGAGCCAGCTTCAGCGCGGGC